GGGTTAGAGAACTTCTGGAGGGGCTGGACGTGTTCAAATCAGCAGGGCCAGATGCTCTCCACACCAGGCTGTTGAGGGAATTGGCAGGGGTTATCGCAGGGCCTCTGGCACAGCTTTACAAGCACTTGTGGAGCTCTGGCCAGGTGCCGGACAACTGGAAGAGGGCCAATGCGGTCCCCATCTTTAAAAAAGGGAAGGGGGAGGACCCGGGCAACTATATGCCCGTTACTCCTACTTCAATCCTGGGGAAGCTCTTTGAGAAGATTATCAAGGAGCACATCTGTGAAGGGCCAGCAGCGGGGTTGATGCTCAGGGATAACCAGCATGGTTTCATTACGGGCAGGTCCTATCAGACCAACCTGATTGCCTTCTACGATCAGGTCACAAAATCATTGGACGCAGGTGTCACAGTGGATGTAGTCTTTCTGGACTTCAGGAAGGCCTTTGACACCGCCTCCCACCCCATTCTCATTAAAAAGCTAGGTGACTGTGGCATTGATGCCTACAGTCAGACGGGTTGCAAATTGGCTGAGGGGGGTCATACTCAGAGTGGTGGTAGACGGGTCATTTTCGACCTGGAGGGAAGTGGGCAGTGGGGTCCCCCAGGGCTCGGTCCTTGGGCCCACACTGTTCAATTTCTTTATTAGCGACTTGGACGGCAGGGTGAAGAGCAGCCTGTTTAAATTCGCAGACGACACCAAGATTTGGGGTGAGGTAGGCATGCTAGAAGGGAAGAACAGATTACAGCAGGACCTGGACAGGTTACAGGGGTGGGCAAAATGAGAATAGGATGGGATTCAATACTGACAAGTGCAGGGTGCTGCATTTGGGCAGTAGGAACCTATAGGCTGGGGAACTCCCTTCTCGAAAGCATGGTAGCAGAAAGAGATCTTGGAGTCATTATTGACTCCAAGATGAACATGGGCCAACAATGAGAGGACATGGTCAGTAGGGCTAACCATACCTTGTCCTGCATCCACAGATGCATCACAAGCAGAACCAAGGAGGTGATCCTCCCCCTCTATGTGACACTGGTCAGGCCACAACTAGAATACTGCGTCCAGTTCTGGATGCCACACTTCAGAAGGGGTGTGGACAGTATTGAGAGGGTCCAAAAGAGGGCCACTCGCATGATCTAGGGACAGCAAGGCAGATCCTACGAGGAGAGGCTACGGGACCTGAACCTGTTCAGCCTTCACAAGAGAAGGCTGAAGGGGGACCTGGTGGCCGTCTATAAACTTACTAGGGGGGACCAGTGGGGTTTAGGAGAGACCTTGTTCCTCCGAGCGCCTCCCGGAGTAACAAGGAATAACGGCCATAAGTTGCTAGAGAGTAGGTTTAGACTAGATATTTAGGTTTAGACTAGATATTAGAAGGCACTACACTTCACAGTCAGGGTGGCTAGGGTCTGGAACCAACTTCCAAGGGAATGATGATGATGGCTCCTACCCTGGGGGCCTTTAAGAGGAGGCTTGACATTTACCTGGCTGGAGTCATTTGAGTCGATCTCTCTCCTGCCCGGGGCAGGGGGTCAGACTAGAAGATCTACAAGGTCCCTTCTGACCCTACATCTATGAATCTATGCAACATCTCTCCCCTGCAAGAGTCATAAGACATAAATAACCTATTTTCAAAGGCTGGAAGGCAATGCTCTGTAAATAGCTAGACAGGAGTTGCTGTACCAGTATAGTTCCAAGGAAACAGAGGAATGTCCTAGACTAGTGATGCTCAACTTTTTGGCCCCATGAGCCAGATGAGTGATGTGGGGCCTGTTTGTGCGCTGAATCAAGCTCCGCACACCAGCACTGGACCCCAGGGGCCTGGCACCATCACCTCCCTGCCCCATATGCAGAGATTGGGTCCTGGGAGCCCAGCACCTCCACCTTATAGCCCTCCTGCATGTTGGGATTGGGCCCTGGGGCCTAGCATTGCCCCCATCTGTCCCTGCATGCTAGGATCAGGAGCAGTGTGGAGGACCTAGGGCTCTCCATGGGTCTGGAAATTTGGCAGCAGGAGAATGGATCTGCAGAAAGCCCTGCAGATTGCATGACAGTGCAGCAGGCTGGATCTGACTCTCAGGCCATGGGTTGAACACTCCAGTACTATACCCAAGACAAGTGTTGAGGTACAAGACGCTGCCTGGACTACCACAGCTATTTTGAATTCATTTGGCTAATTTCTCTAGAAGCCAATACTGAAGCCGAAGAGAGAATAGAGAAAAATTTTGTCAGGGGCATCTTGAAATTTTCCTCCCCTAAACTCCTCCATCCAGGTTTACTTCCAGGGTTAAAGGCTACATCTATTATTGTAATGTGTTAACAAAACAAAAGAAACCTCGGTGCATGGTATTAACTAAACAGTGTACAGACATGCAGCTACATCTTTTTTTGCTGAGGGTGGAGCGGGGAGTTGAGTCAGAGTTTGTTTGGATATAATGAATTACTATTCAGATTATTAGATAAATAGCCATTTATATACACTTCACAATGCAAATAAAGAGGATTAGACAGGTAAGTATCTTTTAGAACAGAAGATCTAGTAATCCTATCTGGCCTTAAAATCTATAACCCACACACAAGCACGATCATCCCGTTCCACAACTCTATCTCCTTGCTCTATCCAAACAAATAGCTTCCTATACGCATCCATATCTTTCTGCTATAAAGCCAAGGTGAAAAGTTTCTCTCATGTTTTCTTTAAGCTCTTTTAAATATCACAGCAGTTTAAATAGTCCTATCATCCTAACTGATGTCAAAGCAACTTTATTATTTTCCTTCAAATTACTCCTTAAACTCTCATCAAAATGTCTATAAAGCTGGGCTACTGAAGAATTGAGCTCATTGCCTATCATGCTAACCAATATCCTCCCATAATTTTCATATACTACCCCCAATGTCTTCACTCATACATTTATTTAATAATTAATGAATTAATACTTTTATTTATGCTCTTTAGGGTGGGGGAAGGGCTTAACCATAATATAATTGACTTTCCACAATCAGTTGTTACAATTACTCTTCATTAATTCCAAACGTAGACAATTTTGTTATGACTGGGATGAGTTGGTGACAAAGACAGATAATTTATGAAAAAGACAAAAAGACAGACACTGCACTTCCAGTGACTGAAAGCTACAATGGTACAAAGTTTAGGTCCTAAACCAGCACAACTCCATTCCCTCTACCACCACCAAAGCAAAACAAAAAGAAGGAACACTAAGAAGTCATTATTAGGTGCAAAACCTAATGTACCTTAGCCTGTTAAGTTCAAAAACTTTAGAGACATTCATTCAGACCGTGACCTTGTACATTTGTTTAATTCTATGCCAGGGGTAGGCAATGTTTTTGGCTGGAGTGCCAAACCCCACCCCGGCAACATCTACCTTACAAGGTGCTGGAATGCTGGCATGCCAGAAAAACAAAAGTGGGACAGGGGGTACATGGCAGGATGAACTACATATTGATATAGTTAATAATCATAATTTTTTTGTTTTTACAGTAAATACCAGGTTTTCTAAAAAATTTAAACCTCATGACAATAAAAAAGTGCCATATACTACCTTTGTTGATGTATATTCTTTTTTTCTTAAGCATGTTGTGATGAGAGAAAAAAGAGGAAAGAGAAAGAAAAAAGAAAAAAGAAAAAAAGAGAAAGAAAACCAGAGGCACGCAGAGAACCAGACGCACGCGCATGTACATGCACACACAACCACATGCATGAAAACAGAGAACCAGAAACACACACGCAAACACACACAGAACAGATACCTGCATACACACACCCCCAGAACCAGACACGCACATACACGTGGCTGGGCTGCTGGGTCACTGGACAAACTCGATGATGCCTCAGGCCCCTGCAGTCCTCTGTGCTTTAGGGAACTGGCCCCTGGGCTACAGCACAGGCCACACGAGGCCCCAGCCCAGAGCCTGCCCATCAGTCAGCTGCAGGGGCGACACTGGGGGAGGGGGACTTGCAGGGGCTATAGCCATTGCAAAGTTCACCTTAGCACCCCCGCCATGGCCACCCCTCCCAGCTCTTCTGCTGCCCAGCCACCCCCCACAGCTGAGCTCACAGAGGTGCAGTGCTCCCAACAGGAGCAGCACAAGCCTCTTCCTGGTGGGGGGGTTGGGCTGGGCTCAGAGCTGGCTGAAGTGGGGCGGGCAGCAGTGCTGGGAGAGGTGGAGCCTTCAAGCCCAGCCCTGACCCAGGCCCCCTACTAGGAAGGAAGAGGCTGGTGCCGTCCCTGCTCTGGAGCCCTGGCATCAGCTCTGTGCCAGCGGGTGCATGCACACCTCACAGCAGATGGCTGGGGAGGGGCCTGAGGCAGCACAACCCCAACCCCTCTCCTGCCATCTGCTCTGAGACTTGCATGCAGTTGCCAACAGCACAGACCTGATGCTGGGGCTCTGGAGCCCGGCACAGCTGTTTGTAGCTGGCCTGGGCTTTGGGCCACTGCAGCAGGCAGCGGGCAGGATGCAAACAGCTGTGCCAGGCTCCAGAGCCCCAGCATTACCCTCCATGTTAGTGGTGACTGCATGTGCACCTCAGAGCAGACATCAGGGGAGGAGCCAGGGTTGTGCTGCCTCATGCCCTCCCCTGCTATCCACTCTGAAGCACGTATGCAGACATGCAGACACCAGCAGTACAGAACTGATGCCAGGGCTTCAGAGCCCAGTGCAGCTGTTTGCAGCCTCCCAGCTGCAGCTTGCTCCAGCTCTGGATAGCTACTGCCGGTCATGCAGCTGAGGCTGCTTGCAGCCTCCCAGCCGCGTGCTGGGAACAGGCCGGGCTCCACAGCTGGCAGCAGCTGCCCAGAGCCCAGACTGGTAGTGGCATGCTGAGCAAAACAGCCTTTTGTGCCATGCTCTGGCATGAGTGCCAGGGGTTGCTGATGCCTGTTCCAAGCAGTAAGTAGACTCAGTGCTGTTTAAGTGAACTTGAAAACAATATTTCAAATAAACAGGTGTAAACACATGTAGAAAACAGGTCCATGTCACTTAATATTACTTTTAATTCAATTTATTTAAATAGGATAAGGCTACTTAAAAAGAACTCTTTACATATAAAATTTACATTACATTAAACATTGCTGTACTTAAGTACAAAACCTGCACAAATGTTTAGTAAAAGGGAACAGCACACAGTATTATAAACACCCATTCTTACCACTTTACAGCATTCAGAAGTGCCTTTGATTCCACAACAGTGAATGGGGAACTCCTGTCATTCATATCTAATGTGGACTATCGCTGACATTTTCAATACAAATAAATTTTAAAAGGTTAATAAGCTTTCAAATAAACAATGACAGCATCTCCAATGAGTCAATTAAGTCACCAAGAGGATTGCATCAAGTTTGAATTTAACAGTGAAACTTTAATATGGGTCAGACATAGCTTTCATAATATTACTTTTTGAGTACTGACACATTACTACCTACCACTTACGCACAAAGTGGGTTTAACAGGCTTCATCATATACCACCGAACTTAACAGGAGCTTTATGACGTAGGATTGGATCCAAAGTCTTATGTCACATGAACAACAATCCAGATAAATCCACTTGGATTAAGAAATCCAGTAATTTTATTTTATAATGTCAAAAGAAGGGAAGAGGCAAAACATTGTTTAGAGTAGTGGTTAGCGACCTTTTCAGGTTGCAGGCTGGAATGCCCCAGCATGGGTCTGAAGCTGGCAGTTGGGTGGGTACTAGGAACCAGATGCCACTTCACTCCACAGCAGCACAAGCAGAGCTCCTGTGGTCACTTCTCCCCACAGAGGCCTGGGGAGAAAGCCCTCCCCACTGCCAAAACCCCACATTCACAAGCCAGATCAAATGGCCCCATAGGCTGTAGGTTGCTAACCCCCGCTTTAGACCATATATCATATTCTCTCAATGTCGTATTTTTTACCTCCTTTCAAATGGATCAATAAGTGAAGGAAGTGTGGGCTTGTATTCCACAGGATTCCCTTATGTTTTACAGACAGTACTGTAATTAGGAAAACAAGAAAAAGTTGCCAGACATACACACACACACACACACACACACACATTTTATACATACATTTATATATACTGTGGGTGTGGATAAAAGCATGGCACTAATCCATTCATTAATTTTGTTCAAAGATTCATACCAACAGATTCTCATAATGTGCTTCATTCTGTGCCTTTTTATCTCAAACGTCAATAAGAGAAACTTCAATTTGAAGTGAGGATGTCACACAGTTCATCTCTTATTACCAGCTTACTTTTTAAGTGATATAAAATTCTATGGTTTTGTTTTGTATAACAAAAGCAATGCATTTCTACAGATTAAAACCTGTCAATGGGATGGTTTTACAGTCTATCATTTATGTAGCTACTTTTCCAAAGCTAAGCAGTTCGGATGCACAGTCTCAAACCACCTGGAATCCCAACAACTATATTAGGTACTTAGCCAGGATGTAACCTACAAGACAGATTCTGCTGGGTAGCATAAAATAGTAACATTTATAAGCCCATAAAAGGTGTTCTGTAGGGACATGCAGGAGATGAACTATTGTATGCTTGAGAAGTCAGAAGCTGATTTTTTAATATCTTGTAACACTACCACCTTTTAAAGGGGAAAATGAACCATTCTCTGTGCAAGACAATAAACACTCTTAAGGTGACTGGTGAGAATATGATTCCGGCTTTATATCAGGGAGCTTGTAAACCTGTAAAATTTCACAGCAATCTGAATACCTGTATAAAGAAAAGCGTACTTAAACTGTTCAAATATTACTTATCTGTTCTGAAATATAGGCATGATACAAATGTATTTCCACTAATTCATGGCCATGTTACATGCTGGATTTTTTTCTTTGCTTCCGTAGGTTTTAGGTCATTCTGAAATGAAAGAAAAATAAACTGATGTCAGATATGCATAAGACAACATTTAGTGTACAATATCCAGATCTAGTATACTTTCAGTGCATTAGTGAATAACTACAGCAGTTTTATGCTGCCATCTTGTGGAGGAACTGAAAATACTGCAAGTTTCCCCTAGAGGTAAGAAATAAAAAAATAAATACATAAAGGCTGATAAAATTTAAACTTTTTGTAAGCCCATTACATGCAGTCTTGGCTTTGGTAGTCCACGTGTAATTTACCAGAAGTATTCTTCACAAAATAAATAAATAAATAAAATGCAATTCAGAAACAGTTCCAGAAAAGCAATTTATAATCTAAACTTTAAAAAAGTGTTTTTTGGCAAACCTGAGGACTATTTGTGACAACTTAGTACATCTCAGCCATTGAAAAGTTGTATAACAAAGTTTTAAAGGTCAATTGGCCACAGATCACACAGACAATTTAAAGACCAAGACTACACCTTGAAAGCAAGCAGCAGCAGAATGCCCTTGGAACAGCTATTGCCCCGTACAAGAAATCTAGTGGGGTTTTGCAGTAGCAGAATCATTTGCCAAAGACCAGCGTTAAAAAGGTTTGTTACTAATTATTAGCTTTCCCAACCTAGTGCTTCCCACTTGTTGAAAATTCTAGGCCACTTTAAGAATACAAAAACCTGTGTTATTGTCAAAAGGTTACATAGCTTACTTACTTGTCAAAAGCTTACTTCAGCAAAACAGGAACCTCTCACCACTTCAGAAGATACAGCCACCTTAACAGATAATCTAATAGTCCTCATCTATGGCCCCATAGGCCAGATGAGCAACTCAGTACCAGTCCACAGACCAGATCTGCCTCATACCACCAGATCCAGCCTCATGTCCAGATCTGGCCTTGCTTCCCTGATCTGACTTGCGTTGCACAGATCCCGCCTTGCCCCGTGTACCCAGTCTAGTGCAAGCTGGCCTGCTGGGCTTCCCACAGGTCCAGAAATTTAGTAGCAGGGCAATTACCATTGCCATTGCGCCACCCAATTTTCAGGAGTGTGGGGAACCTGGAAGGCTGGATAACAGGACTCCATGTGCCACATCCAGACTGTGAGCTTTCATTTACATCACACCCTTCATTCCACATAGTATACACGTGCAATACTTTTGCACACAGCCATAATACAACTCCCTCAGCTGGAACATGGCAGTTGCTGAACAACGAACAATACACAAGAGTTCAGGGCAAGAATTCAAGAACATTACACTTCCAAACTGAAGCTGTATGATGAATCCAAGTTCTGTTGGCAAACCCTTAAACACTGTCTGGAATTAGATAAAGCTGCTTAGTCTTGAGGGTACCTACATTCCCTTCCTCCCCTCCTCCCTAAAGTTTGAAGCCACTGATTAACAAATAAAGTAAAATTAAACATTCATTCATTCATTCATTCATTACAGCCCAATTTAGCAAGATCAATAACCATCTGCCTAAATTTAGACATAGTCAAATACTTAGGTACCTAATTGAATGAAACCAAATCTAAACTGTAAAGATACTGACTAAGCATATCAAAAATACAGAACACTGAATATCAATTTAAACTATACAAATATTCAGTGGGTGACGAAACATCTAGACATACTGCACTACAGCCATGTACAAATCAAAGCTATTTAGGTTTGGATATAGTCAGTATTTAGGATACTTCTAAAGAATATTGAAGTAATGATATCTGCAACAGGCAGCACTCTTCTGATTAGATCAGTACAGAGCCAGTTGCTTTAGTATGACTTCAAAATATTGCTTGGTAAGCTGTCTTTCAAAACAAAGAAAAATATTCAACAAAGATTCTGTGGAAAACTTCATATTCATTAATTCTGCCATGTTTAGAACAGAAATAACTTTTTTTTTTGGTTTCTTTTTTTAGAATGTTTTAAAATCTGTTACAATGAGGCACTATAAGGGGCATGCATTTAAGACAGCAAAAATATAACCTCATGTCCTCAAATACCTCCAAGTAAAAAAGTATTTTCCATCTCCTTCCATGAAATCTTATGCACGGTTGTACAAAATATGACCACATGTCAGTAGAACGTGAAGTAGTTCTTTGAAAGGGACACTGGCTGATAATAAATTTAAATCTTTTGAGCTCTTTTGGGATAAAAGTTGTTAGACAGAAACCTTACACCTTACTGCAATGCATTAGAAAATATATACAGAGTTACCTTTGAAGCAGCTTCTGGCCCCTGCCCTACAATGGACTGGCTTTCACCAAGACTCAAACAATCACTCCTTGGTCAGAGTTTAGAACCATTACTCCAATTTCATCTTCAACCTGTCAGCTGCTATCAACTGTTGCCCCCTCTTCTCTTCCAGTCCTGTTACCACCTGTCCTTTTCATAATTCAGACCTTTCTTCTTCACTAATCACTCCTTCAGAATCCCACAGGACAGATATGTTTAATCCTTCTTTCAGATTTCTGAGAGGATTCCAAACTTAGGGACAGCAATGTCCTTCCTTTCACTTAAACCTGTAATGTTCACACATAACTGTCTAGATTCTCACATGAAGGCAACGACAATCTTGCTGATACTTCCTACAAAGTAGCTCTAAAAATGGTGCCCTCTCATTCAAGTCATACAGCAAAGATTATGCTTGAGCCCCTTACCTTGCTTCCATTACAGCAAGGGTGATAAATGGAATCCTGCCCTACTCATTCTAACAATTTAAAATGTTGCAAATAAATAAATAAATAAATAACTTCCTTAGTCAGCTGCTGGGAACATTTCACACTTCTTTGCATTACACTCTGCGCTCTTCTTTCTCCACTGCATTAAGCACAATCCATTTGTCTTCACTGCTGAAACCACTCTCACACTTCCATACTATTCATCTCATACACTATTTCAATGAGAGCTCCTGCTTCTGGTCCTCCTTGTAACACTGGCCTTCCATAACCTTTCATTAATGTTTCAAACACATGACTGCATTTCTTCCATGCCAGCCTTCATGAATGGAAGGAGTTATCTACAAACACCAAGGCCAGCTCCTGTTACTCTTCAAATCCCCGCTTAAAATTACTTTGTTTAATCATGATTAGAGACACTGATACTACTATAATCCAGAACATTAACCCACCATATAAAATAATCAAGTAAAATTAAGATTAAATTATACAGGTCTAAAAGAAACACTATACATTTGTCTGAGGCACACCTGCATATTTCAGTGAAAAATTGTAATAAGGTATACCCACTGCTGTGTCACATACATACCATTGATTCAGATTCTTCCTTTGGAGCTGTTCTTTTTAATTTCACAATTGTAGCTCCTGCTACTGGGGTCATAGGCGATACCTTTAGACTAGCCAATACATTGCTATTAGTCACTGGCACACTGTTCTGTTCTGCCTCATTATTCCTGGTTTCTAGTTTAGCGTCCTGTGATAAACTGGAGGGTGAAATGTACGTTGAGGCATTTGAAGGAACTGATAGTCTCCTAACAGTATTGGTGGTGCTTGCTGTTGGGGGAGGTTTTAGGCGATCAGTGGCTCCATTTTCTGTCTTCTTCACCTTTATACTTGTACTTGTTGAACTGCCATCAAATACAATAAGTGGTCTCTTCCTTGATCCTTCTACAGTTGTGACACTGAAAATACAAATTTTAAAGTTCTCAGGAATACAAATTAGATTATCGAGAGTCAGTAAGTGCCTCAAGGGCCGAGCTATAAAAAAGATATAGTTCAAAAATGTGCTCTCATCCTACTTCACAATATTTAGTAGATCCAAATTCAGATCATAACAAACATCAAACTAATTAACAAAAAACTAATTCCAAGCAATGACATATTCATTACGACTGTAAAATTACTTTGACATTATTTTAGGTAGAGTTGTACCAAGAAATGCAGTACTGTTTCAGATTTCAAAGAGTTAAGTATTTAAAGAGATGTAAATTATATAAGTTAAGATCCATACGTGTTTTGGGGAAAAAAAAAACTAAATCTACATTTACTCTCAGTCCTAATGGTGACAAAGTCCAAAGGACTATTAGTTAATGTTCTTGTATCTAAAATAATTTGTTCCTGAGCCAGGGCACTAAACTGATTATTTCTGCTAGAATAACTAGTGTTTCTAAATCTATCAAAAGCCAGGTCGGATCTTTTTTCATTATAAGAAATAAATTATAGAAGATGGACACTAGGATGTTATTTATATCAAAGAGTTAAGATCAAGAAGGAAACAGCCTAACAGACAAAAAAGAAAAAAATAAGGAAAGTATTAATAGTTGTTCCTTTGCACAAGACATCCAACATGAAGGGATGAATTTGATAAAAGAACCATTGTACTTAGTGAATTTATAAATTTACAACATTTAATTAATGATTTGCAGTGTCAGATATCGTTAATTGTGCATTTGTGACAATTTCATGAAAACCTAATACTGCTATTTTTCAACTACAGTGGTATAATATCAGAGGCAATTGAACACATTAGTTTAGACCCTATTTTAGACAAACACATCTTTACTAACAAAGCAACAATGAGAATCACTGGTATCAGGCCCAGTCTACATACTGTCATGTTTTAAAGCCACATTGTGGCAGCCATCTGACTCAATTACAACACCATTACATCAGCAACTAAATGTGGAGCTGCTGGTAGCTTTAATATCCTAAAGGTTCCAGAGATCTGATTTGTGGTTTTGATGATAAAAGATAAAGTTTCTTTAAAAATGAAATTGATAACAGTTCAAGAATAAACATATATCTTGCAGCCATAGAACAATAGCAATTAATATCATATCAAAGCTCTGCTTCAGGTTTGCTTTTCATATATTTATTGCATGCATTAAATCAACAATTAATAAGTCAAAGTACATCACTGAAAGAGTCTAAGGCAATGAACCTGCACACAATTTGAAGTAAACCGTAATCTCTATTGCTCACTCAGACCTTTTTCTGAAAACTTCCTCTCAACACCTATTCACCAATATCCTGACCAAACACATTCAAATAGCAGAAATGCATAAAGCCTACTTCCAAGGTATCACTGTGCAAAAATTCTTGTTTCAATCTCTTTCCTTAACATAAAGATAGAACAGTTACTCCTCAATAAATTACTCTATCAAATACTCTCTCAGCCAACCGGGAGTGTTGTATTCAAGGGCTACATACAACTTTAAAAGCACAATTATTTGGCACTGATTCTTGTGCACAAAGTATAGTATATTTGAAAGGTTACAGCACTTTTGTTCTTCTCAAAAATGACAACAAGCTATGTTATATACAAACTTTCCCAAGAAACATTAAGACTCTACAAGGGATCTTGGGATTGCAAGAATGACCAGCCTCAACAAAATGGGTGGAGAGTGCTACTAGCTTAGCTTATCTTAGTTTAGCCAAGCCTACACCCTGGTAGTTTGGGTATTCTCTTAGGAGACTAGGGGTAAATTTAAACCAAGGTCTCTGACAGCCCAGGAATTAGAGCTCTCACCCAGGTAAACATAACATGTAAAAACAACTCTTTTTGCCACCATGTTTTGGGCTAAAAGTGCCTGCTGTGTATTGTGATGAATTCAATACTGGCTTTTAGGCACTTAAGAAGTTAGCCATTCTGAGAATGGCACTCTTGGTTGGACCCAAGCAGAATTGTGGTGCTTCAATATCTTAAGTCCCTTATTTTTTTTTTTTGACCTGGGTCTAGATCTATTTCTCCTGTCAATCAAGGAACTGTCTCAATTACTGCAAAATTCAAGTTTCGGTTCAACAATTTCTAACCTGTGATATTGTTTAGATTACCTGCTGAATGCAAACTAAATGCAAATTCCAGTTTTGTCCTCCTGAGCCTACAGCTATCCCAAAACAGTAGAGAGGTGTAAACTGTCAAATAAATTCTAGCCCCAACAGTTTGAACAGCTGTACTGTGCTTGAAAGACCTCTTCCAAGTCTGGAAGATTGGGGGAAGAGTTTTTTCTTCCAGGAAGCTCCAAACAGGCAACCCTGTCTCACCCCTAAAGTACCTCTACACTGGTTTGGGGCATGGCTGGTAGACCCTAATCCCACCATACCAAATTACCCCTTGGCATGGCAGCACGCAACAGACTCAGGGAATTGATTGCAATAGGACAGAGAGGAGAGAGAGCCTTTTTATGGGCTCCCCAAATGCTGCTACACTCTAGATAGAGAGGAACCGCATTCTATTATAAGGAGGCCAAGAGCTGCCATGAAAGAGGGGACATATTCACTCCTAAGAGGTCTGTGAAGTCTCATCTCACCAGGATGTTAAATAGGCATGTCTATACCATTCTCACAAAAATTCTGAGAAGCAAATGTCATTGAATCACTGCATGCAAAAATGTCTTGTATCACTACTGGAACCATGCCAGGCGCATCCAATGCCCATCTCAAAAGCAAGCTTAAGACAGCATCCATGAATGAATTACAAAAAGCAACCACGCAACACTTTTCTGCAAGTGGTACATATGGATCAGGAGCAGGTAGGTGTAGCTTGTTTCTTGGCAGCAGTCTCAGGATCACCATGAAGACAATACAGACAGCCAATAATTCTGAAGTTTTCTCCGAGTATGTTTTTGCTGTACTTACTAAAACTACTTTATGTCCAGAACTTCCAAGAAGCTTCAGCAGCTTCCTTTCAACTCATTTCCAAGTTCTTTGTGCATTAATGCTGGCAGTAAGATGGTCAATTTTTTAGATAGCATACTGTTCAAGTCTATGTTGAGCACTGAACTACTAAAGTGTCTTAAAATGACTAATGATTAATAAGGGACTTATAATGATTAATTTGCAACAAGTACTCAAACAGTAACTGGTAACTTCAGCATACTGTGTTAATAAAAGCAACTTTAACACTGCAGCCCTCTAGAAAATAAACAGTAGTAATCTAAGTAAGTCTACAGACTTTTTCCAGTTTCCATATATGAATTACTTTTTATCATAACATGCCTACGCATAAAGCAAGTTCCACTTGTAATGATTAGAAAAGGACACACAACATAAAACCTGTAAAATGTTGCTGTTATGCAAGAACTTCATGTTATGGCAGAACAAGGCTGAGATATTCTTGAGAGGTTTGTTGATGTATTTGTTTGCATATCTGAACCAAAAAAGCAGTTCCTGTTGACAGCCCTTTCAGAACACTACCAATGCCCAAGATCAGTTTCTGCATATTTCAAGATGCAACTGGAAAGCAATATTTGTCAAAATGCTTTTATAACCTTGTGTGTACAGAGAAAATAGTGACTGAGATATTTTGACAGTGGTGAAAGTGTTACATAAGTTACTCATAAGAATTTGTTTAACAGATTCTATTAACGCAAGTAACAGATCTGTTTTCAGCCTTGCTAAACTCATTTACAAAAGTGACCAGTTGTACTATACTGGAATGAATAACCACAATCTCTAAGTTGATCTAGTTGTTTCTTTAGGCATTCGTGTGAAGTTGAACCTCATGCAGGTCCTGAACAAGCAACACAATGCATGGGGAGGTCTTTCTAAATCAACCACTTTGCATGGGTGCAAAGAACTGTCCATTCAGATACCATCACAGATTAGAAACACGAGAACATGAAGTAAAATAAAACCCAAGTTTTAGACAGCTTTATTTTCTGGTCAAATAGTATTTATAAAGGCCGTAAGCAAAAAACAACTTTAATGAAAAGCAGCTTCTGTTTATGTCCAATAAACAAACCTTTGTGGCAAATCAAAATCACCATTTCCAACTGCTATGTTTGCGCACTTGCTAGGTACAGCTACTATTATGTAATTAACTGCCAATGACCTCATGTTTTGCTACTGAATGCTACCACATAAGAACAATGTTTACTTATAAAAATATTAACGATCACAAGTATCAAGCTTTCCCATCTCCATCTGAAAATAGGAATGACTGTTTCTTTATGATGTACTTTGAGAGCTCCTGTAGCTCCTATCTACACCAAAAGCTAAGTATACAACACATAGCAACACTGAAACTGAATGTTATGCTAGGGTAATATACTTTGACACACACCCTGACACAAAATGGAATTTATCGCATGTCATCCTCTACAAATGCTATATGGTGTTGATAATTGGGCAGAGAAAGGCAAAACTAACTGCAAATTACCCCAAAAGCTATCCAGGAGCTAAAAGAACAGCTAAATTACCTCTCTCTCTCACTTTTCCATTCATTTTGTTCTCTTTTCTTTTCCATCACTTTCCCCCATCTACTTTTTGGCAAGTTCCGCTGAGGCAATGGTATGGCATGTTGAATATAGAGATCTGTAAGACCATCTTTATCCATCTTTACATCATTTTCAACTGGTATGTTCTTCTGTGGAAAGGAAGAAAACTATTATTATGAAGCGAAAGCTTTTGAGCAAAGTACTTTTACTCACAATTCCTTTTTCAATAGTCAGCGTAACGAATACTTGACACCACATTATGTCAGAGAACCACATTATGTCAGAGAACACCACCTTAAGTCAGAGAATCACAGAAAATGAGGGGTGGAAGGTACCTCAGGAGGTCATCGAGCCTGTTTACAGCAGGACATTGCCCAATGTTATCATCCCAGCTAAGGCTTTGTCTACCTGGGTCTTAAAAACCTCTGAGGAGCCATTCGTGGTAGATCATTAATAGCTGAATAATGATAATTAATAGTTGAATAACGGTTCTTAGGATCCCAGGCTGTACCTTCAGGGACCCAAGTGCAGGATCAGAGTTCTGCTTAACCTAGAGACTGCTTCTCTGACCCCCTGATGCTTAAGCAAGATGCTTAATCTCTACTCAAAAGAGGATTTACTCAGAAGAGAGGTGAGAAGGAAAAGCAAAACAAAACAGAAGCAGACCAACAGCCTACAGGTTTTGGGGAGAGTGCCACAAATTAGCCTCCTCAAGCACCACCCAATTCCCTTTCCCCTACCTGATCTGTTGCTTTCCTCTGCTCCCCACCCTATCTGCCGTTGTGTTACCTGCCCGCTCCCCAACCTGCTTCATGCCATGCACACAGAGGCTGCCTGTGCTCCAGGTGGCACCTGGCCACCCCCTGGGCCGGCCCGTCAGGGAAACCAATTGCGATTAGAGGCCTGGAGAGCCAGACTTACAAGGAAAGGCTGAAAAAGGGTCATTACAGAGAGGCTAGAGATGGACTTTTCTCGGTGGCCCCAGGAGACAGGACAAGGAACAAGGGCTCCAGCGGCAGCAGGGGGAGCTGAGGCAGGAGATGAGGAGCTCGCTGAGCGAGAGCAACGGCGCTCGGAGCAGGCTGCCTCCAAGGGCTGCAGCATCCCCCCCTCCACCCCCAGGCAGCGTCCGGCCTCGAACCTGCGGCTCGGAGCGCCCCCCCCCCCACCACCCCAGGGCCG